AACCAAAACTTGTAAAATACATTTTAATGGGCATAATTAAGTGTGAAAATAACTGAAGGATATACAGTCGAACCAAAAATTATTCAGAGACCCGATATAATTTTTTTTATATTTTTTTTACTAGTGGGTGCACGACACTATAGTTCATTTATGTAAGTGAGGATAGCAAAATAAAGTAAACTGTGACAAATCATACTAGGATGCCTCGAGGGTGAGCAAAACACAGGCTAATTTTCATTTTTGGGTGAACTAACCCTTTAAGTTCAAACTAAATAAAATTAGGAATGTTCAACTAGCTGAAAATTTAAAAAAAAAAAAAAAATGTACAAATGCAATAAAAATATTGGTATCAGTACTCTGTATCAGGCGAGTACTGGAAAAAGTGGTATCGGTGCATCCCTAATTATTATTATTAACAAGTGACCAAAACAATATAACATACCTGTATACGGAGCTGTACAGTAATGTCCACATCCATTGCTGCAGCACTTCTCATTGTTGGGACAGTCAGAGTCACTGTTACAGGACGTGGTACACGATCTTCTTCCAGAGGTTGGGGGCAGACACAGTCCTGGCTTCATCACTGATTGCTGAATAATTCTATCCACTTAAATTAAAAAAAAAAAAAAGTTTCACATTACACTTCAGTCTCTGCTTAAAAGCTTACATTGAATTCAATGTTACTTGTTTTTTGTTTTATTGGAGGACCCCTAGCATCCATTAACTCACTGGAAACAGGTGGCACACACGCAGGCCCAGACTCAAATATACAGCATTTGTCTCCTCCAGAGCAGTCTCCATCAAGAAAACATCCTCGACGGGACGGCACGACCGTCAGCTTCATCGGACAGAAACCAGCCACCATTGTTGGGAAGGTCACTTGGAAATGTAATAGGTTACAGATTGCAAGTTATCCCATTTAAACATGTAATCAGAAAACACCACTGAATGCTGAACTTTTACATTACATTTCATTCTCTGCTTAAGAGCTTACTTTGAATTCAATGGGTTATGTTCACTTTTTTTTTTGGACCCCTAGCATCCATTATTAACTCACTGGAAACAGGCGGCACACACACAGGCCCCGACTCAAATATACAACATTTGTCTCCTCCAGAGCAGTCTCCATCAGTAAAACATCCTCGACAGGACGGCACAACCGTCAGCATCATCGGACAGAAACCGGCCACCATTTTTGGGAAGCTCACTTGGAAATGTAGTAAATTACAAGTTACCCCATTTAAAATGTCTGTTATTTCAATTTCATTCAATTACTTTGTTAAAGTAATGTAACTTACATTTCATTACTTTCCTAAATTTCTAACGAATGTTTTAACTCAAGTAATTTTGAAACATTTAAACCAGGCAGGTTTAACATTACTGTAGTATTCAACACTGATTACGGTCAGACTTTCAAAAGGTCTTTGATCACTTGAATTAAGATTATAATTTAATTTTAAAAGCACAGCCACCACACACAAAAAAAAAAAAAACTTTAGCACCCCTTTTTAGGTTGAGATTGTTCTCTAAAGTTTAAATACAGATTTTAAAAGCATAAGAAATATTTGAATAGCTATGGATACAGTTTTTGACATCAAATCTTTGCATAGTTATGACAGGAAACTCTGGCATCTAACAATGCCTTGGGGAAAAAAAGTTAATCTAAAGCATATACATAAACCCCAAATAGGAAATGAAATAGGCTAGTTATCAAATAAGTATGTCCTATTCTGTGTCCACACTCCTGAAACATTGGTGTCTCACATTTTAGAGTTACTTTCAAAGACCGAGTCACTTATTTCTGCATTTCTTCAGGCTGTGTAATGAAGTGAACAGATCTTCTCACCTGTGGCGTCTGTTATGCTCAAGTATCCGGACAGACCCGATAAAAAAGCAATCAACGAGCAGTACACTCGAGCTACCATCCTCACAATGATCTCTGCTGGAAAATGCGTTGAATTGGTGCGTCAGGAAAAACGGAGAGCGAAGCGCACTAAACTAAAACAAATAACCGTGTCGCTGCAACATAAAGGCTTTTAAAAGATCCGTCCAAGGATATCAGGTCAACTCCAACCCTGATCAAACTCACCTGCCTGTAGCTTTCTAGTAATCTGGAAGACCTTGATTAGCTTGTTCAGGTGTGTTTGATTGGGGTTGGATGAGACTGCTGCGTTCACGCCACGTCATAATAATTAAGGTAGCCTAATTACGAGAGGACTGAACTGCTTTGTCCAAATTGACCGCACTTGCGGTCTTTGCACTTGACCACTTGACCATAGCCGATCTGATAAAGCAGTGGCTGGTAAACATACGTGATTGTTTTACGACAGGGTGTCAGTGCTCTAAACTAGGAATCGCGACGCTGCAGTGTATGTGAGATCTGACGCCTGTTTCACACATACTCCGTTTGCAGTGTGTATGCGGTGCAGAAGCAGCACGGACTCATTGTGCTTTCACACAGGACGCGTTTGCAGTCCGCTCATGATCCGCGGCTGTTTAACACAAACAACATTTATCCATTATTTTGATTTCAAATCCAAACGTAGTTAGCGTATACTGAAAGTGCTTTTTCAGCATTGTGATCCTCTTTTATCACAGTACAGTTACACAATCTTTCAGACATATTCACGTTTAAACTCAATTAATATAAACAGCTTATGCATTTGGCTTCTAGATTTGTATATTAAATTGCTCAAGCAAGTGGAAACACATCTGAACACAGCATATAGCTTTCTTGTGTTAGGTTATCAAATATTTTAAATTAAAACTTACCACTGACAGAAACAGTCGGCTCTCGTGCCTTTTACATTTAAATCTTTATTACAAACAGTCCCGCTGGTCTTAAAGAACTTTGTTTTTCTACCTCCACAAGACACAAGTGCATGTTGCCTTATCTAAAAGTGCACTTTTATTTGCTTCAAACCTAGCCGAAAAGCCTGTCAAACACAGTGTACGTTAATTATATCGATTTATTGTGAAATTACTAAATTTCCGTGTCAATCCATGTTCCTTTTTATCGCGAACAATGCGCTGTCACTTTAATTCAGCGCGAGCAGCACAGCAAAAATAGACTCGGTGCGTAAACGATCGCTGCACTGCTGCAGACGCGCCGCACCTGGAACGCACTGACGGACCGCAACCGCGTGCAGTGTGAAAGCTCTAATCCGTTAACATGGGTGCGTAAAAAAAAACGCAACGCACACGCACTGCAGACGGAGTATGTGTGAAACAGGCGTAACTCCCGAACCCCGGGGGCTATCCACGCGGAGGTGGTCTCGTTCGAAAGAGGGCCTCGAGACCTACACTCCCTTCGCGTTCGAGAGGGTTCATCGA